TTAAATCATCAATTTGTGGAAAAGATAAGGAAGGAATATGTAATTTTTGACAAAAGAATTTATTCTTTTAACTAAAAAAAATCATCAACTCAACTTTTAAGTTTCTTGTAGACTAAGAATTACAACAAGAAGGAAAAAATCACTTTTGAATAAGAACTTTAAACAATTAAATCACTCTCTCTCTCATTAAAAGAAAAGGAAAGTTTCTATGAAAGAGAAACAATATAAGGTTGGTAAGTCGTTTGGACATCTTACTATATTACATTGTATCAACATTTTTAATAGAGAGATATTGGGTTTGCCTTATTAATCATTTGACTTGCCTATACCAATATGTATAATTTTTTTTTTCTTCTTACAAATGTAAAAACTTACATTTTTACTCGATTTCTAATTTCTTCCAGTATGATCTGGAGCTCTAATAAACACGTTTTGCGACCTAAAAATTCATTTGTATTTAAATATCGAACCTTTTTCTTTTTTTATTATTCTATAATTCAAAAACTTGTTGCGTAAACATATGATACCTTATTATTTCAAAAGCACGAAAAGATTAGTATTATATATCATAAGGAACTAGGCTTTATTCTTTGCAATTTTTGGAATCGGCTAGGTGATGCTTCATCACTCTTCTGCTGTATTCGTTGATAGATGCGATAAAAGATTTAAATCAATGAGATCTTAGAGATGCGTCGATACTAGAAAGAGTAATGTTATTCATCACCAGTGGGAATGAAAACATGGTCTAGGTGGAACTAAATGATAGGTGAAATGAAAGATGAAATTAAATGACTTATTTAATTTCACCTATCATTTAACGTCACATTAGCTCCACCTAGACTGTGTTTTCATTTTCAGTGGGGATGAATAGCATTACTCTACTAGAAAACATCATAATTCATTTTATAAGGTTAACGAAGATTTATGTTGATTGTCAACCTCTCGAATTCTGGACCAACCATCCTATGTGGGAGGGATTAAAATCAGATTAAAATTGAAAATATAGCCGTTATTGTTGACTTTTATTAGACGAGTTGGGCCCAATAACGGCCATATTTTCAATTTTAATTGACTTTTAATCCCTCCCGAACGGGGCCTAAACAAACGTAGGAGTGAAATGCTGTTCTGTAAAATTAGAAGTAAAAAATAATTATTAATTTAAAAATCATTTAATTGACGCCTAACCTGCTATTGGCACTATAGTATTACTCCCAAAAAAAAAAAAAAGAAGAAGAATGAAAATTAGGGTTGACGAAAGAAATGAAGAGCGGTGCCATGATGACAATTCCCATTGGGTAAATAGAAATCCATTAACAGCCACACACGTCCCAGATGTGAGATCAATGGTCCAGATTACTCCACTCACGATCGATCGTAAGATGGGAAACTCGCCCTATAGTTATCGACAAACCAGCGATTCAGTTACGTCCACGTGTACTCTTAGATCTCATTATTGCAGCATTTGATCCAACGGACCTCGCATTCTCTCCACGCCGAATTCCTCTTCACTCTCTCTCTAAAAAGTTCTCTCTAGACTCCCTTTTTTTCCGAATTCGCCGGAGAAATTAGCTTCTGAATTTTCATTTTTCGTACCCTTTTTTGGATTTTTGAAGTATTTTCCACCGATTTTGCTTCTTTTTTTAAAAAATTTTCCTAGCTTTTTGTGTACTTTACTGTTTGATTTTTCTGGTATATATATATTTTTGTTTGTTATGGTTTTATTAGGTTCTACGGTTAAACTTTAAAATCTTCTGTTGAATTTTTGCATTTTTTTTAGTTTGCGTTTTTCTCCAATGTTTTAGATTTTTGATTACCTATTTTGGTATTCCAGAGGGATTATAGCAGATTCTTGTTTTTATAGTTGTGAATTTTGTGTTTTATATATATATATTTTCCTGTTAGGAATGTAAGAGTTTATAATTGAATATATAAACCAAAGCATCTGAGCTTCATCCGTTTTTTTTTTTCAAAATTTTTAAATATTTTTCTATTTTCTGTGGAATTAAACATCCTTTCTGGTATCAAACACTGTGAATGATCAATATAAATCTTACGATTTTGAGTTCAAAGCAGTTTTGGTATCTCGGTAGCTCACCAATACCAAAATTCTGAAAATCATATCCAAAATTGTAGATTCTCCTTTAAATATCGAATTGCTGTTTTCCAACAGTAGAAATCAGCGCCTCAATTTTCACTTCTTGGAAGAAATAAATGGCGGATTCTGATAATGAATCGGGAGGAAACAGAGACCACAACTCGCATAACGAGGCCTCCCCAAGAGAGCAAGACAGGCTTCTCCCAATCGCAAACGTGAGCAGAATCATGAAAAAAGCACTTCCCGCGAACGCAAAGATATCGAAAGATGCAAAAGAAACAGTGCAAGAGTGCGTATCCGAGTTCATCAGCTTCATCACCGGAGAGGCGTCCGATAAGTGCCAGAGGGAGAAAAGGAAGACAATTAACGGCGATGATTTACTTTGGGCGATGACCACTTTAGGATTCGAGGAATACGTCGAGCCGTTGAAGATTTACTTGCAGAGGTTTCGTGATATGGAGGGGGAGAAGAGTGCAATGGCCGGAAGAGGGGAGAAGGACGTCGGCGGCAGCGGTGGGGTAAATGGCAGCGTAGTAAATATGGGGACTTCTGGGGGTGGTTATGAAGGGATGTATGGAATGATGGGGCATCAGATGCAGCAGGGACAAGTTTACGGGTACAATCAGATGGGTGGCAATGGATCCGGAAAAGTTGGGTCGGGTTACCATATCGGATCCGGGTCTTCAGCTGCCAGGGGGAGACCAAGGTAATAGTTCGATTTGCTTCTATTGATAATGATGTAACATTAGTAGTATATGTTGAAATATGAAATTACAGTACTCCCACATATATATACATATGTACTTCGTGTTTATATATGTGTATCTATGAGTTTGGTTTTTGACATTATAGTAGATGTCCTTGGCTGTTTTTTCATTGCTTTCTGTTACTTGGGATTATAGTTTCTGAGTTTTGGGCAGAAAAGAATTAAGAAAATTGAGTCGCAACTGGTACCTCAGAACCTGTATATGGTCAAACAGTCGACTCAGAATTGTTACGGCATCTCAAACTAGTGTAATTGTAGTTCGTGGATATTGAGTTTCGAAGTGATTGAAATTAGTGTAACTAGTATTGGTGGTTAATTTTTCTTTATTTTAGTTGACTTTGAGTGATATTCGTGCTTGGCGACGCATCGTATGATTTTTAAATGGAATTTTTGGAAATTTTATTTTAATCATATTTCGTGTGTGTAATAATAGTTCTTGTTATGCTGCAACTTATTGGGAATTGAAGTAGGGTTGACACGCCTCTCAAGCTTACCGTTTCCCTCCCATACTTGATCAATATCGAGCTTAGGCTGCTTGCATCTCTGACAAACCACCAAAGGAAGAAATTTAACGTAGAATTTGTGATATTTTGTGATTGCTTGGTTAAGGGAAGAGAGTAATAAGGAAAGTCTATAACAATGATGAGAAATGATACTTTTACGTGGGAAATCCATGAGCAATTTTATGCGCTGAGGTGGTAGCACTTGATTGACTATTTTAATTATATTTTTTGTCCAAAATTCAACGAAATGTGGTCATTTGACATCCCGAAAGTTTTATGTGCATTTTCCATGTACATTTAGCAATTGCCGATTAATGGTGGTAGGCGTGCTTTAGAATTGTGATACCGAGTGATTGCAAAGAGACAAGGGCAGGGCCACCACTTCAACTGCTGCAATTGACAAGACCCTAGCCCTCTTGTTCCAAGATTTTGGCGTAGACTTGCGTAGACTTCGTTTGCTTTTGATGTTAATGTTCAATTATAGAGCTTGTTAGGGAGACTTTTGAAAGTTGCATTTCCAAGTCATGTTAATTCTAGAGCTTGAAAAATTTTCAAGTGGGAAATAATTTTTTTGGAAAAAATGTAGGAAAAATAATATTTAAAAAATTACTTTTTTACAAAATTTATTTTAGACAAATGAGGTTTAAACATAGACGGCTTACACGAGCGGGAATGGGGCTAGACTTCACATTGACTCCATCTTTTTAACCCGTGGGTACTCTAATTAAAAATTATGCAAGGTGGCCTGGTCTAATCTTGGCTCCACTGGAGATTAGTAGATGTTCCTCCACTGAAGATTAGCATGTTGTAACACGTACAAAAGTTGGTTTGTCTTTATTCAAGAGTGCTCCACTTGAGCTTTTCACAGTTAATCCACTAGCTTAAGAACACTTCTTTTCGGATTTTATATCGAACATCTTGTCCGATTAAATTCAGCACTTTAAATCACGTTGAATAATTAAGAACTTGTCAAATTTTGTAATTTTCTCCATCTTTTAATTATGAGCAACTGTTTGGGAAAATTGTTCCAAGTAACGAAAGAAGAAATGACTTCATTACTATAAAATTAATTTACTGATTATTTTGTATGGACCCCGAAATTCGATACTACCATATTAATAATGAAAACATAAAATATTCGATAATAAACCAAAATTTCCTGGACAGATTAGTTACAAATGCTTTTTGCCATGAGATCATATGAACCAGAAGCCTAAAAAAGAGAGAGAGAGTTGATGTTCCAAGCCTTTTAAAATCAACAAAACCGTATACAAGTATGTAGAGACAACTACTACAATCAGTGTTGATACCTATTCAAGGATCAGTACACTAGAGAAAAGGATAATTGTACATAGCAAGCTACAATCTGCATCATTTAGTTCGATGAATTTCTATGGAACAAGAATCTTCCGGTTAAAAAAACTAACAACAAATTACAACTGGCTTAACTTGGAGATGCGGTTATAGAACTACAACGGCAAGATCAACATAAATTATAGCTGGCTTAACTTGGAGATGTGGGTATAGAACTATAGTGGCAAGATCAACATAAATTATGACGATGGAGCTATAGACAATGATAGGTCGGTCGGATGGTACCCTATGCTTCATGTGTCGGTGTTTTCTTCGTAGGTTGTCAGGCACGTACACCTCGGCTAGAAGATTGTTCAACGTTCTTCTTGTTATCACCTTCATCCTCTTCATCTTGTTCTTCGGCTAGTTTTGTTAGCTCATCCTGAATCATGAGCTTTATTATTGATTTTCTTGGCGTCAGGTCCACATCGAATCGCTTTGCTGAAACAGTAAGGAGTCTCAGAATTTTAACCGGTACGATATACTAATAAGAAAAAACAAGAACGTTTCAGATTCTATTGCCGCTGTAAATGAGAAAAATTCCGATCCATAGCAGCACAATTGCAACGCCTTTCAAGTAAGCTAACATCCTATAATCTTTGTCTACGCCAACCCATCCTAAACAAAAAGAAAATGAAAAGGTGCAGGGGATTCTTACCTATTGTATGGCTTAAAGATAGTAAAATTAAATATTAAAAGCTTACCTAGTTGCTTTAGAATATCAGTGAAGGTGGCCTGCAAAAAAAAAGTACATAGTGTATGTAAGAGCAGAACAAAAAGAAACGGTAACTAAGAAATCACTTGAATAACACAAATAAATGTCATGCAAACAAGTTGGACCTGCATTTAACCTCTTAACTCGATTGCAAAGAAAAGCAGCATATAATATAAGATTGAAGATTAGAAGTCCACAATTCTTTTAGATGAATTCTCAGGAAACAAATGCAGCACTGCTTGTAAGTTCTCTAAAAGACAACCAAGCAAAATTTGAGGATGCAAAATAACAGCATAGTTTCCCACGTGAAGGTTTTCAGGTTTAGAATGTTGTGCTGAGGCCAAAATCTAAAGTATAAGAAGTTCAAAAGACAATCTTATCTTCCGTTCTCTCCTCCCACATAAACACTGAAGAGGGGAGGATATATTGAAATTAAAACCATTTGACAATGGAACAGAGAACTTCAGGTCCTCACCGTATTGAAGTCCACCTCTTTGAGAATCTCACATATTGAATTTTTAAGTTCATCGTCACTTGGCTTTACTTTGTCCTCCTTGGACTTGGCTTTACCCTTCGCAACCTGCTTCCCTTCATTTGGACAGAAACAAAGCTTTAGAAAAATGGATTCTCATGAAAAGGCCCTCACAGAAGGTCTGAACCATAATGCCATTCAGGATGTTCAGATTTAGGGATTGTATTTAACTATCAAGATTCTCTTGCAACCAAATAGTCCAATCATAGGAAAATAAACTAAAATTCTCACCAGTCGTCTCTTTTGACGCAGAATTCTTTAGAGTTGATGACTTCTTCTTAACTGCTTCATTTTTTTTCTTACCCGAAGACTTCTTTGCACTTGTATCATTATCGGGTTTTGAGCGACTTGATGGTGATTTTGCAGGTGCTTTTTTAGGCAGAGTAGCCTTCTTAGATATCGCAACTTTCTTAGTTTTGGCTTTTTTACCAAATCCCTTCTTCGCTGGAGACTTTGTTTTACCTCGCTTTAAATTTCCTTCGTCATCATCGGACTCGTCTTCAGATGCACTTTCCTTCTCACTTTCACCTTGATCAGACAACTCATTTTCTGATCTTTTGGGAACGCCATTAATGGTTTCCTCTTCATGTGTTTCATCTTTCTCTTCTTCTGTTTCGTCATCAGATTCAGGCATGCTCTTTTTCTCCCCACCCTTTTCAGATGCACTATCAGTTCTCTTTTGAGTCTGAAATACGCCAGAAATAATGTTTAATAATGGGTAGTTTCATCTAAATTCCAATACATCTTCCACAATGTTAGTAATTGTGCTTTATTTGATTGACCACTGAGCTTCCATTTACGAAGAATATATATAAATTCCAATACATCTTCCACAATGTTAGTCAACGATAAGCATGTGTGTTTCTCATTTATTTATTTATGCATTTATTTATTGATGTATTATAAAACAGAGGATTCATTTGGCATCATTTCCTCTCTAATTTTATTTTACTCTAATTCTGAGTTGGGGGCAGACCCTGAATCCCAATTATGCTGATTTCATGGAAACATCCACATGCTGTATTCCAAACCATGTTCTACAAGTAAAGAGGAGAATCTAGTAGTATAGTTTGCTAGAATCAAACAGCACCCATTCATCTTAAATTGAATAGCTTGTCTAACTTTTGTGGTTGACTAGATATTTTTCTGTTGCATAATTTGTTCCCAAATTTATATACTTATAGATCACATCGCACTGTCATTGCAAGTTCGACCTCGATCATATTACAGTTCAACAAAATAGTGCACATGCTTTAAGTTTGCAACTCACCCCATGCAACAGGATAAACTACATTCAATACAAATACTAACTTATTTTGTGATATGATTGAACTGACAACACCCACAGTACAAACCTACAGATAGTGATATATAATTATTATAATGTCTTAATTTGAGATATTACTCCAACCTTATTGTGCTAAAATTTGTCTGCTCTACAATTAATGAGAAAGGGAATACCTTGGCAGAGCCTTTTGAAGATGCGTTCCCAGATGCTGATACAGTGCTTTTGCTGACCCTCTTCCGCTTTTTGTCCTTGACCGACTGGTTGGCATACATGAGATTTGTAAATATTCAAAGAGCCAAGAGAAAAGTAAATAAAGGTTGGACTTCATGTTGAACCTGTTCTTTTTCAGTAAGCAATTCAGTGGTTGTTGCACGAGGATCCATCAAAAAATCTATCAACTTTGTGATTATGTCTTCCTGGATGCATGACGAACAACAAATTGAATTTTAATCTTGGAGAAGAAGAAATGCAGGAGAGATATGGTACATCTCGTGACTATGATAGAATGGCAGCAGTACCATATTGTTAACAATTTATCTAGAACACACATGCACTAGTGTATCCCAGAATAAGAATGCATATGTGAAGAAATGTGCAATGAGGGGTGGAGCTATGCAAAGAAGTAAGAAAGCAAATGTAGAATTCCCAGGAATGTGAAGCAGAGAGATCTCTGCATACCTTCTTTGTAGTAGACTTGGAAATTGATATATCGAGAACGTCACAGACTTCCACCAGTTTTTCTTTGACGCACTTGTCAAGTTTTTCTTTTAGTTTCCTCATTTGCTTTTCCTAAGACACGCATATTCAAAGTGCTGAGCTATGCCTATGTTTCAAAGAAGTTCTAAATAGATATTTACAATCACCAGATAACTTAATATAATCTCTTCTTTACCTCATCATCATGCCACACAAATCCAGAAAATCTAGATATATTGTTCTTGACATCAGCTGCCTGCAGAATTAGGTAGAAGTATAAGCATGAGTCAACTATCGGAAGTTATCAACAAAAGCATGAAATGGACCCAAGTACAGCATATCAACATTTTATAGCTGCCAGAAAAGCACATTAGGAGCGCCAAATTTACTTTAAATACCGAAGTAAATTGGCAGGAACCATCAAAAGGTGGATGAATATTGTTTGCTAACATCATTTGTTTAAGCAAAACTCAGGGTTATATAACTCAACTTCGATATCAACATCACAAAAATATAATAGAAAATAACATTTTAAAAAGAAAATGGTCCAAAATTAAGGGCTGTTTTCATTACTGTTTTTAAGCCGTTTTCTGTTTTCGATTTTCTAAAACAGTGAAAACGCATTATCTTTTCTATTTTCGAAAACGCGTTTTTTTAAACAAATTAAAAATTTACAAAGAGAATGTTTTGGGTATTTTCAGTTATAATCAAGACAAAATTTTCAAAACGCGTTTTGGGTTGTTTTCAGTTTAACGTCACCCCAACCACCACCAACAACACCTGCACCACACCGCCGCAACATCACTCCAACCACCGCCTGCACCACAACACCACCACACAACCGCCAAATCCACCACTACAAAAACTACTACCACAGCCATCACCACCACCACCATCACAAAAACTGCCACCACACAACCGCCAAATCCACCAAAATCGCCGTAGAACCACCACCATAGCCACCGCCGCGGCCACAGCCTCCAAACACCACCGTCGCACACGACGCACCCAAAACCACCACCGCCACGGTCAATAAAAAGAGAGAGTCACCGACGATCACAGCCAACGAACCACAGTCGCACACCACGCATCGATCGTAGCCACCATTGCTGCCCGTCGACAAAGAGGAGTGGAAGAAGAGAGGGGGACGAGAGAGGGGGGAAGGAGAGAGTGAGATGAGAGAGATACGAAGAAAGAGAACGGGTTTTCCAATTTTTGATTTTTGAAAACAATTTTTCAAAATGCCAAAAAGAACACATTTTCAACACTCTCAAAATGGACACTCAAAACACAAAATACAAAATGAATTCAAAACACAAAACTTAAAACACAAAGAGAACACCCCTAAGTACTTAGAGCATCTCCAATGGAGGTGTAAAATTGGTCCTCGTTTACGTCTCGGTGGATTTAAATTCAAATTTTGCTCTAATGGGAAGATCTAAATCCACTTTTGCCTCTTGCGATGTTTTACATCTTCTACCGCAAAATGCAATTTGCGTTTCCTTTGCATTTCTCCATTGAAGAGGATTTCAGCCACTTTAGAGAACTAAATCACAATTTAGAACAATTTTTACACCACGATTGGAATTTGGAGATGCTCTTAGGGTGCCAATTTTTCGCAAGTAAAACTAATTGTGACTTATTCACTTTGGTAATAGTACCATGATATTCAAAACGCATTAAGGTATCAGAAGACACGGATATGCTCAACAACTTCAAACTATAAAGTTTTTCGGATGCATGACACACAGGAGATATTTTCTAAAACTTAAGGAAATGAAAATTCCAGCCGTTTTCAACACGATCTGATTATCAAACTGACAGGAACACTGCATTGTGAACAAAGAAAAACAATAAGTATGAACTCAAAGCGTTACTTTTCCCCTCCTTCCAAAAAGAATTGTATGCAGCAACTTGGAGGTGTCATCGCTCTTCCTTCTTGACAACTTGTATGCCACTGAAACAAAAATGTGGTTCAGAAAGCAACAGAAAGTTCGATTGAACAGCCATGTAACTGAAATCATTAAATTGATTAAAAAGTAAAATAAATGTAGATTTGGTACAAATGGAACAAAAGAAACATAATACTCAAAATTGTAACATGCACAGGATTGACGGGAAGAAACAACTCAACTTCCAACTTTAACTTCGATTACAGAAGAGGCTGTCTATTAAGAGGAAATGACTAGCACAAATGCAATAGATTTGATGAGTTAGAAATGCAAAGGAAATAGGAAGGTAAAAGATTCATCCCAAATATCACAGCGTATAATTAGATAAAGAAAAGCTACTCTAAAAGACCATGAAATCCAACACAACACACAGGATGGAGAAACATAAATTTTGGTTGATTAATGTGCTGTGGTAGCGTTTAGTATTTCAGAGGGGAACTTGAGAACTCTCTTCTACTATGATTGGTGATTTGGTCAAATTATCTATACATTGTGATTTGCACCAGAATTCGAGGAAAAAATGCACGAAGCCAGATAGGTGTATCAAAATAAAACTATACAATGGTTCAACTTCTATTTTACCCCATAAACAATCTTGGATGATGCCCAAAACTTAACTTCACTCATTATACAGGTTTACTAAGGAGTGTAATTAAGAAGTGGTGACGCCATGACAAAATCATATGAATGGAACTCTTGACAAATTGCAACGTGAAGGTATAAGCTGATGCATATGCATGGATGAAGTCGAGGTATCCAAATACTTAAAAAGGTGTACCATTAGGAATATCTTTCAGTGCAGTTCCACGACCCTGCAAACAAACACTGGTATGTCACAAAGTAAATCTTTAGAGAAAAAGTCAATGGACATCATGAATGCATTGCAACAGTAAATTTAATCCATTGAGTGCCTGAAAACGAGAAAGGAAAAAATTCATAAAACACACCTTTTCAATTCGGAATTCCTTAGCACTATCTTTCTCAACAATGGAGACCAACCTTTCTACAGATTTCCGTTCACGTACAGGACGTTGAATTGCAAAAGCTGTAGGGCTTATCGGCTCTTTTGTCTCTATAAGGGTTTTCCGCTCTTTTCGTTTTTCCAGAGTTGGGGTTTTCAGATCCTTTTCTTTCTTCTCTTCAGCTTCATTTGTCTTATTTTTCTCTTTTTTCGCAGCACTACTTTTAGTTCTCGGACGCTTCTTCGAGCCTCTTTTCTCTTTATATTCTTCCAGTTTTTCTTCCTCTTTTGCCTCGATCTTGGTTGCTTCCTTCCCTGTATCTTCTGTGGCTCCATGCTCTTCCTCTCCTGTATCTTCATTTCCTTCTTTGCTTCCACCTGCTAAATTTTCCTCCTCCACATCTTTTTCTTCAGTTCCCTTGCTTCCTTTGACCTCTTTTTTGTCTGCACCCATTTTCTGCACCTCAAATTTCCCATCATCCTTTTTATCTTCAACTAGTTCAGTCCCTCCATTTTTCTGCTCATTCTTCTCCGTCACAGCCTCACTCTTTTCCACCCCCACATCATTCACATTTGCTGCCTCGGGCTTCTCAGACACCTCTCCTTCACCCATTAACCTCACAGTTCAGAACTTCGCCAAAACCTACCCTTATGATAAAACTAAACTGCATTAATCTATTAAGAAAAGAAACGGTCTAATAATGAAAATTTAATTGGCAAACAAGAACTGCAAATCAATAGCTTGTAGAAGCATAAAAGAGAAAACTACCGAATTATACCTATGCATAAATTTACTTTTACTTGGGCAAGTACGCGCGTGCGTGTTTGTGAATTACATGTATCTAAACTGAATTCTAGGACATGGACTCGTGGAGAGAACTACAAGGCCAACAGAATTCGCAACAGAAATAAGTAAAAACATAAAAATTTCCGAAAATTCGCAGAACCCTAACCTCCAACTACAATAATTTTCACCCTCAAAAATTACAAAAAGAAACAGAAATACACGAAATTAAGCATCATAAATTCACAATTCCAGTGAAACGAGAAACTTACACAAATTTAAGCAAAGTTTCCAGTTCCAGAAACTGTAGCACCGAATACAGTCACAGCTCACTCTGTCTTTGCGTCAACGTTTCACACTTCGAACCAGAATCTCACTTTCTCGGGTGGGATTTTATAGTGCGGACTTCAAACTCGGATTCCAAATCGGGTTTAATGGCGTGTCGCGCGGGGGAGAGGGTGGCGGAGACACGTGGCGCAATTCTGAAACGTGAACTGAATTGACGGCTGAAGTGCCGTTTTGGATGGGCGCCTTGAATCAACGGTTATATTCTTTTTGAACGTACTTTTCTGGACTAGTAGGACGATTAGCGTTGACTTTCGACGGCTATAACTCCCTTTCAAACAATTTTTTTTAATTTTTAAAGATTGCACCCCAATTTTGAGGGCCCCCACCGATTCTGTCCTAGGCCATTGTGGAGGAGATAAATGGCAGGATGTGCCTCCCAGGAGTCAGGGTGGAGAGCTTATAGATAGGCCTTGGGCTATTAGCCTTATGGTAACTCCCGCTTGCAACAAAGTCAATTCCACCTTGCGGGGAATCGAACTCTGCACACTACCGCGCTGAGCCCTAACCGCCCTCCCCTTTGCCA